CAACCTCCCGTGGTCCCTCCCCCCGCCACTGGCTGGCCCCCCCGATAGGCCTTGATCGCCAGCCACGCCAAGGGACCCTTCCGTGCATAAATTTGTGCACTGGGCCTCTAGTATATTTATAAATGTACATATGACATATATTTATGTAACACAATATGTAATAACTGAAGACTAAATAATTTTAAAAATAGTTTTGGTTAAAAGCAAGTTAAATCTTGTAGGGTGATTTTTAAAAACAAATAAAATGGTAGACCTTGTTCTAATAAAAAGGTACTTTGGGTACTTAATCAATGAATGTCATGCTTTGTATCCTCTTTCAATTCCTTATTTTCCTTAAGATGCTTAATATGCATATTTTTTGTACTTCATCTTCATGATTTTCAAGTCCACATTCACCCATGTATATAAGTGTGCAAGTACAGTGTGCGTGTATCATTTACCCTAGTAAAATTAAGAAAAAATAAAATAAAATCTATAGAACAGGGGTCAGCAAACATGGGCCATAGATTAGATCCATCTTCCTGCTGCCTGTTTCTTTAAATACAGTTCATTGGCACACCAACCATGTCCCCGTGTTTCCGTGTTGCCTGTGGCTGGCTTCCTGCTGCACTGTCAGAGTGAGTGGTTGTGACAGAGACTCTATGGCCCTTTATATATTTATGTACACCCCAAATATTGACTATCTGACCCTTTACAGAAAACATTCAGCGACACCTATTATCAAAGAACATGTTCATCATTTGAGTAATATTAAAACAATATTTTAAAATAATATCCTGTCTTTCACAGTCTTTCTAATATTAACTCAATAGTTATATATAAATGAAAGTAAAACTTCAGCCTTAAACACTTAAAAGCGAATTGCATTCCAACAGAATTTAGAAATTATTGAGCAAAGAATGAGAAGATTGTTAAAAAATAAATGGTACCCAGTTAGCCATAACAATAATGGCCCATTTATCCATCATCCTGATCTTTGTGCGTCTTTGGTTGTTATAAAATGAAAATGACTATCTATTTTTCTAGACTTTATTTTATGATAAAGAGATAAATGCCATCTGGGATTTATTTTTAAAAAGCACTTATGGCCTATTTCATCAGGCACATAAAACTGAATCGTCATCTTAAATTAATACAGTGCAGTTAGAAGTAATATTTTTATCCCATATAAAAAGGATTAACTTTAACACAGTTTTCATTGAGAGCATTCTTTGGCACAGCTTTAGTATTTGTTACATTATATAGAGTGATTATACCATCCCTGAAACAATATTAGCAAACATTTACACAGCATTTATTATGTGCCAGAAACTATTTGCAGCACTTCATCTATATATTAGCTCATTTATTCCTCACTATTACCCTCTACAGGCAACTATTGTTATTCCTAGTTAATAGATGAGAAAACTGAGGCCAAGACTTTAAGTGCCCTTCCCGGCATGACACCGCTAGAAAGTGGCTAACCTTTCAGCAATATACCAATTCTTTATAACCCTAAGGGTTGATTTTAGGTCTTTAACTTTTCAAACATAAAGGCTTTGTGACTCCTCTGAGAAGTGGTATTTCAAGAATGGCATCTTTCAATTTTCTAGCAATACTAAGCACATTTGTTACTCAGCATCTCCAGCTTCTCGAACACATCGAAGTTGACTCAGCTGTCGTTCTGCCTGTTCTCTACTCCATGTTTCTATCAGGTTTGCTTGGTCACCTTCCACAATCTCTTAGAGCTGGGTCCAAACATTGTTGACAATCATGACTGACAACACCTGATAAAGTCCAGTGGTTAACAGCTATATTTAAGGGCTAGCCTACACATGATACAGAATAGGGTGCGCAGCGGCATCACAAATTCCTGGAATAAACCAGTCAATAAGGAATCCAAGATAAACACTTGTTTATACATGATCAGTTTTATTAGCTGACTACTCAGATAAATACGGTGTGTATATGATGAAATCAGGTTGCATAAAATACATGTTTGGATGTTGGCATGTTTAATTGCAAGATATATGATGCCTATGGCATTAAAGTTAGAATGATACATTTATTTTAGAATCTTGTGAAGAAAATATTGCTAACGCATGGCTTTTGTTTAATTCATTAAGCAACAAAGTCAAGACAAAATCTTCCCTAGATTGATAGGGACAGGATATACTTTTCATTAACCTTTGAAACATTTGGACATTTTTCATGTTTTGATAAATGATAAATGATAAATGATAAACTTTGTCTGATAAGCTAACCAGATGCTTGAAGTTGCTGGGATTCTGAAGAGCTGCACTTAACCTCATTGGCTAGCATTAGTCTACTTGATGAGCTCTCAAATAAACAATAATAATGTTGTTCTCTACGTCCTCTATCAATCTGCTCTGCAAGGCTTTGAACAGTTCGTGTAATTAAGTGCACTTGTCCAGAACAACAAGACTTCAACTACTGAGAACTGAATTGCTGATACTGGGGAAAATATCCACCACCCAAGCAATCTTAACTAGAGAGGTGGCCAACATAAAATCATCTGGTCGAACATGCTGCTAAACCATTTCTATTCCGCAATAGGTTTAGAAGCAGCTCGTGATCACTACTTATTTATTAGTAGCTGAATGTCACCATGAGCCAAAACCACCGACAGCTGAACAGAAATATTTCTTTCTTGGGGTTTCTTTTCAGGAGAACATTATGTTTCTTGCCAAGGAAACATGCTTCAAAATATACATTTGAAAGAGTTAAGGGCGCTTAACAAAAGCCCTATTCAAAACATATGATCTCAAGTTGTTCAGAGAATCTAGGTAAGGTTGAGTTTTCCCATTTCATCCCCAAACCTGCTACTTCAGGCTATTGCCAAGGACTAGCAGACTGCGTTAAGCCGATTTAGCACAAATAATCCAGTCTTGTTCAAAGCATCTCCATATAATTCAAGGCAGTAAAGAAGGATACAAACAGTGAAAGATAAAGGATTGAATTAGAAAAGTCAGGTTTAAGTCTCAGAGTCTTTATATAAAAATGGTTTATATCCTGTTCATACAAATCCTGCTATGAGCATGGTAATTCTCAAGCCCACCTTTCTTTCTCCCATGCAGTGACCCAGCAATTGGGATATATTCGTTTTGTGGCTCAACTCAGGGCCTCAGGATTACTGCAGCAGGAGGGAGACACCCAAGGGCTGTGCACTGGCTCTCAAATGCTTTTACACAGAAGTGACACACACATCACCTTCTCTCACAGCCCACTGGGCTCAACTACCCACATGACTCTGCCCAAATGCAAGGGATGGAGAGAGAGGTAGGGAAAATAGAGATTTGTTGAACAATAAAAATCTCGATTG